CAGCACCCTGCGCTTGTCCTTGTTGAACCGCATCCTGTTCAGATCCACCCACTTCTTTAACCCATCCAGGTCTGCCTGGATGCGGTCCCTGACTGCCGGCGTATTCACTTTACCCCACAGCTTGGTGTCATCAGCGAACTTGAACAGGGTGCTCTCCACACCCTCGTCCAGGTCGCTAATGAAGATGTTGAACAGCACCAGCCCAAGGACCGAGCCCTGGGGGCCTCCGCTGCCCACACCCTCCCAGGGCGACATTGACCCATCCACCACCACCTTCTGGGTGCGCCCCTGGAGCCAGTTTGCCACCCATGTGACTGTGCATTTATCAGTGCCGCAGTCCCTCAGCTTGCCCACCAGAATTGGGTGGGACACTGTCGAAGGCCTTCTGGAAGTCCGAGAAGATGACATCGACTTCCTCCTTCCCATCTAAGCTGTTTGTTACCTGGTCATAGAAAGAGACCAGGTTAGTCAGGCAGGATATTATCATAGTTCTTTGTTGCCCTCATATTGACAGTTCACACAGTTGTAATTATACAAAATTTTCACTTTCAGAACTAACTGCCTAAAGGAAGGATAAGCATTAGGACATGAGCATCCTTTAAGATCTAAAAAACATTTTTTGTTCTGTTACTCTATTAAATATATATAAATTCTGTGTGTTACACCCCTGATCAGTAGCACATCCAGCCCAGGATCCTGCAGTGTTTTTAAGTACGTAATTCCCAATGAAATTGTTGGGAGTAAAGGTTCAAAAATATCTTTTAAGGATCTGGTCTTTTGGTTTGTTTTGGGCTTTTTTCTGTTTAAAGACAGACTCGGATATTTACATAGGTGCTCTGAATCCCACCGGTTAATGTCAAAGGAAACCCTAACGTATACAAGCATATGGCAGCTTTCGCTGCTTTTACCACAGTTTAATCTGTTTTATTTTAACGAAGTTGGAAAAAACAGGAAGTTACAAGAGCTTTATGTGCACAAGGATTTCAGCTGATTTTGCCATCAGTGTGTAGGTACAGAAGTATTGCTCCCTGACATTTTTAGGTTTTACTACCAACATGAGCACTTGTATATAATCTTATTTTTACACTGCAAAGAGACAAATAGCATGTCACATGTACTTAATTTTACCTGTTTAAACTTATAGCTAATGTGGTCAATGGAGCAGTAAAATTAGAAGATGGAGCATCACCCAGAACAAGAAAATCAAAAGCATTATGAAACGGAAGCTAATGTTAGAAGACGAAGTGTTGACAGAAGACTGATTAAAAATATATTCTATCACTGCAAAATCATTGACTTTTATTTGGCTGTCTTGCAATATTAAATGGACACTGCCAGGCTCTAATATTTTGAACGCATTTATTTTGTTTATTAATACACAACTCATATTTTGAAAACAGAATGAATAAAAACAGACAAGTCAGTTGCACTTTGCAGCATTGTGCTAGTAGCTTACAAGAGCTAGAAAGTTTGAGGTATTTATTAAATTCTAAAAAGATTCTTATAAAAATAAGGTTAGTGTTTCCAATCTACATTTTGGGTTAAAAAGATCTGACCATGTCTATCTGAAGTCTGTTTTTTGCATAACAGACTTCTTTTTTATTATTATATTCTTCTCAGCTGGAATAAGAAATGGTATGTCTGAAATGCATCTAGCATGGCAAAAATAAAAGATGTTTACCATTTCCTTTCAAAGGTTATATAACACTTGACTTAAAAAACAGGTTCATAAAGTCCAGATATCAATTATTTCGTCTTACATTAAAAGTGATTGTGATATGTAATAGAGGCACAGAATAGTGGCTGCATTTACCTTGCAAAATTGCGATTTTGAAATGGGTAGTAAGGTTTTATATGGAAAAGAGTTGTCAGTCAAACAATAAAGATGAAAGCTTTGTTTCATTCATGTAAATTGCAAAACACCCATGGATTTCAGTAGGGATAAAATCCTAGACCCGTGTCCAAATATTAGAGAATTTTCCCCTTTCTTTATTGTAACTGACCTGTTTTGAAAGTTACTGATGACTCATGAATTTTATCAGTCAGCTTTAGAAAGCATACTTTCTGTAGGTGAAATTGTACATAGTTGCTGAACTACTATGGTAGTGACTCCATTAAAACATCTGTTGGAAATAGGTTTCATAATATTTAAACATCTGAGTTAGGCAAATACTTTTTTTGGTTTCAGATTCAAGTTTTATGCCTTCACAAAGCTATTAGGAAGCTTCTTACCTAAATAGTCCATTTGAGATGCAATTCAGTTAAAAGTCAGTAGACCTTTTTGTAAAGTCTTCTCAGAAGTAATATGGTTAGATGCTCATTTAATTAACTGGTTTAGTAAATACTGCATTATAGGCCTCTGATCACCAAACAATGCCATCTGATTTTGCCTGGCTTCTTGTATTACTTGCCATCTTTTCAGCCAATGAATCTTGCTTTTCCAGCAAGCACATCAGGTGTTCAGGAAATAACTGACTTATAATATGTTTGGGCACATAATATACCAGAAATGTGCATTTAATGGCATTGCCACACATTCTGAAGTGTCTGTGGTTAATTTTTTGGGTTAAAAAAACTTTACCATTCCTTAAGTGTTTATCTCTCAAAATAATGTATAGACAACTTTTTTTTTCAGAGAATAGATACTTAAATGGTATTCATATTAAGCTTTTTCTTTAATGCCATTTCTTTTCTCCCTCACTGGCTGCTCAGGTGCTTTCTTCCCTTCTAGCCTGTGTCTTTCTTCCCTTCAAGCAGTGTGGAAGTGTGATGGGGGGATTGTTTTTGCAAGGGTTTGGTTTTTTTGTTTTTGTTTTTTAAATAAAGTGAAGCAAGTGGGACTGTTGGGGAGCCACTTGTACAAGCTCCAGTTGTATCAGTCTACTTACTCTCCATTAAATTGGCTGTAGGCCATGAAATCACATCCAGTAGAAATACTTTTTGGATGCTACCCACCCAGGTTAAACTTGAAAAATATACTGGCCACCCATATTTCAAACGTAATGTTCAGAGCACTTTACAAGTGTAAATCTTCCTAACCCTTTTGTAAGGTTATGAGGTAATAGTAGGTTTCCTAATTCCTGGTTGTATGAAGAAATTGCACCAGAATCCTGACCACAATTCTGTGAAAAACAAGTGACAGAGACTAAAGGTTCTGTATCATTACCAATTCCTGGAACCGCTGGATCTCTCAATCTTAGATATTGCCATACTGATCTAAGCACTTGTTTGACTATGATAAAACTACTGCTATTTTTGTAAGTAACCTTCTTAGTCATGTGTGACTAGTATCTAAACGCTATTTAAAATCTGTGACCCCATTTTCTACTTTGCCATAATTGTTCCTGTGTGCAAATAGATTGTAGAAGTATTGCGTATGACTTCACATAAACTTGTACATTTCTACTGAAAATGTTTACCATGGAACTAGAATATATATATATTTTTAATGATTTTAATAAACTTATTTGTATAATCATGAATGCCTCATTTGATAAAAGTATCATCTTTTGAGCAGTTTTGGTAGGACCTGCTTAGCCTTCAGGGTATTTCTCAACCATGCTGCTCACAAGACAATGCTTTCTCTGATAAGTACCTGCAACTGTAATTGTACTGTACACATAGGTTTTGGGTCACTTGGCAGCAAGATGGCCGACAGTTAATTACACAGGTCAAATACTTTTACCCTGAAGAAAGGAAATTATAAACTTAAGGGCACTGTGAATTTGAACCGAAAACTACATTTGTTTTACATTACTGATGCAAACACGTTCTTGAATGAAAATATTCTCCTTGTCCCCAGTCAACTTTAAAGCGTTTAGGCAAAGTTTTTCAAGCACAGGAGACTGACTTTAGATTTCAGGTAACCAAATTTGCAAAGTGTTGAGCACTTAATACACACAAAAGAATCTGGCCATAGGAGCCTAAAATTAGACTATTTTTGAAAATTCTGACTCCAATCTCTTGCCATTTCTTTTCTTTTCAGAATAATGGGAAGGTGTGTTCTTAATATTCTTATGAATCAAGTAAAATATCATGGAATATTATTTTTGTTGCATGTTAAACAGAAAACACTTAAATTATTCATTTAAACTACTTTTTTTTTCTTTTAGAAAGTGTCCTTGGATTATATTCATTGTATGTAAGGCTACTGTTCTGCTGCATGCATACATGCAGTACCTGTAAAGTACGGATAAGAACCTCCATTTTGTAGCATGAGAGGAACTTTTTTTTTTTTTTTAAGTAAAATTCACTATCATTTCATTGCATTTTTTTGAAAACTCACTGTGTAATATCAAATGCATGAAATGAACTGTAGGCCTGTGCCTTAATATTAAGACATTTCAGTAAACTCTAAACAACTTGCAGCAAAAAGCTGTTTGCACTTAGTGTTTTTCATACATTTACATGGTAATTCTTTTACAGATATTTTAGTGAGTGTTGCACCATTTTTAAATTCCTAATGATGGACACTAGAACGTGTTGAGATGTTGGACAAGTAGTTCATTCATGCACAAAAATGTGGGACCTGCCTTGGGAAGCAGACTGGGCTGTTACTGAGAAATAATAATGACTGAAAGAAGTAGCTTGGTCATCTTGATAGAAATTCTGTGATGTTCATGCACAGAAAGGCTGCTTCTGTGAAGATGAGGGTTGGTTGTGGGTTTTCTTTTTTTATTTGTTTTTCTTAAATCCCCATCTGATTTGAGTCAGGATGACAAGTGTATGGGAATTAAGGGCTAGGATAACAAGAGTATATGATAGTAGTGAGAACAGCAAACAGCTCTAGCATTTGCTTTTTAATATGAATAGGACTCCCCTTTTTCCATCAGCAATCTAAGTTAAAGTTTATTTAAAGTTTTTTGGGTTTTTTTGAATCCACAATAGAATACCACACCCATCACCATATATCAGCCAATCTTGAATTAATTTATACTGCCAACTAGAACTTTACAAATTGTTCTGTTCCATGGCAGGAAGAGCCTCTGTGACATTCAGGACTCCTGTCCTTGTATTAAGCACAATATATTATAGGGAAGTGATGAGAGAGAGAACTTTAAATTCCAATTATAAATTATAATTATAAATTCCAAACTGCTTGAATTTTTTTAATTTTATTTTGTTCCTTGGAAATAGTCCAAACACTTGTTCTACCATCTTGGAAACACATGCTTTTTTTCCCTAACAAAACACTAAAAACTACCCCAGACCTCTGATGCTATTACAAACCCCTAATTCAATAAAGCTCATAAGCATGTTTTTGTCTCATTTCTTCAATGGGAATTGTGTGTGTGCAAATTAAGTGCTTAGCTGAATAGGGGTATAAATTAAGCTGCATGCTAATCAGGGTGTAAATAAACAGTGAATATTGCCATTTCATCTTTTTGTCACAGTTGTGTCAAATAAGATTTTCTTAGGCACTCTGGACTGGCATTCCTGTAGATGTTCTGGCACTACAAAAAGTCCCATCCACAATTTTTACCATCTGAAATGTCCAGCATAAACTTAGGTGCAAGCATGGCAGAACTTCACAAAACTGGGTTGGTATAATCTGTTCTTTTCTTAAATGTGTGAACTTAAAATAGACAAACAACCAAGTTTTGCACAAACTTATGACTACTTCAGATCTGTAAACTTTACCTGCAGTTAGATGAGACCTCACTGCAAAATTTGAAATATTTTTTTAGTTATGTAATAACTCTACTTTCATAGTCCTGTTAAGCTTTTAAAAACATCTTACTCGCATTACAAGCCAGAGCCATTTCAGTCAACTGTGTTGCATCATGTCAATGGAAGAGGAATGTGCACATGTTAATAATATGTTCTGAAACCAAAACTGGGTCCTCTTCTTTTAAAAACCCACCCCCAAATACCGAGAGTTGTGCTGTGTCTGACCTACTGTTTAAGGTTAAATTTACATTTTTTATGTGCAAAAAAAGTTGAAGCTACACTTGCTTTTCTGTTGCATTGAACTTTTTACAGACCTTTTAAAAATAGACAAACAAAGAAACTGTAACAAAATATGTTCCTAATGGAAATATAATGATGTGAACTCTAATGCTGTTTCTATGCCCGGAGTTCAGCAAGACCTGACCAAACTCCCACTGAAGTCAGTGGATTGGCTCCTAGTAGGAGTTAGATCAGACACTATATGTACAGATTCTTTAAGAACTTGTTTTATTCTGGCTCCCAGATGCCTGTAAGAATTTCTAAATGCACAATACTGTCAAATAATCAATTATATTATTTCTCTTTAAACCAATTGGTTTTCTTATCTTCGATTCTTTGGGGGAGGGACAGTGTATCATCATTGATTTCTTTGTTTCCCAGTATTCTTTACAGGAATGACTGCTGCATCCAGTTAAGTTGGAGGCATACTGCTTTTTTAGAATCTCTGTCCAATGCCTTTCTTGCACTATCTGTTGAACTTCCATCACAAAAATATACTAGGACTGAGAGAATTTTCTAAAAGAACCTTGACACTGTAAATGGTAAAATTCTAGATGCTTAACTTCTTTGAATGTCACCTCATTTAAGTCTCACCAGTTGAAACTAAGCCTATGGATTTAATCATAAGAGAGTAATGTTTACAAACTGTAATAGTGTCTTAACTTTTCCTACAGTTATCCAGTAAAATTCTATGTAGAGTTGACTCTACATTTAAACCAGCAACATACTTCATATTAAGTATAGTATGAACCACGATGAATGTGCATCTGTCTGACTGCAACAAATACACTGGTTTGGTTTTTAATTGCTGTTAAACTGGACTTTCCACTCAATAAATATGTCTGTCCTCTTCTATTTAGATTTGTGAAATGCATTGTTTTTTTATAATGCATTACAAAAATACCTTTTTTTAAAACCTCACTTCATCCCTCATTCTACAGGCTAAAACTGTGCTTTAATAAAACCTTTTCTAGTTGAAAACACCATAATTTATTTTGCTTTTTAAACACTGCAAGTAGTTTATGTAGTTTTTTTTTGTTTGGTTTGTAAAACATAGCACAAAAGCTATGTTTTCTGATGTATGTAAACTTGTGGTTACTCATATACTTGGTAAAATGTCTACAAAGAGACCTTTCTCTCTAGAAAAGTTGGTGTTCTGTAACCGTTTAATGTGCATTTATGATGCATTTTGTTTTCTGTAATTTTAATTCTTTTATTGTCATTAAACCATGTGTTTTATTACCACACTAAATCAGTTGCTCTTTGTAGTTCAGCTTAGCTACCTAACAGACGTTAACAAGATCTTGTTAGAGAAAACATGCATAAAAATCCGTGCATAATTCCACAACAATCCATCTGGGTTTACTTACATTTTCCAATTTTTTTTACCCATTTCCTGCTTACATTGATAATTTTTTCTTTACTGTCTGCTGCCCAAAGGGATGCCATCCTCTATCTCTGAGGCATATATTGATCCTTTTATGCTGGCCCTTACAGTGCTTAAGGACTTCCTGCCAAGCAGTTCAGCTATACCAATACAGCTGCATTACTGCAAACCCTTAATGGAAGTACTGCTGCAGCAATGTAAAACAGATAAGTTTTATCAATGCGAGTTTGTTTTGGTTTTTTAGAGGTGTACTGATACATTGGTCCCATATTGGATCGACACTGATAGGGAAAATTGACAGTATTGGAAATTGGCTTTTTTTTGCTTGATGTGGCCGATAGATGTCCCATGCATGTGTGTGGTCACAGCATGCACACAGCCAGGAGGGTAGCCTGGAGGCTTGGAGAACAGCATTGGCTGGTAAGTCTGGGGGGGGAGAAAGGGAGCAGATCAAGGCCCCCACAGTTAGGGAGGGAGTGGGGCAGGGACCAGACTCTGCTCAGCCAGGGCGGAGTGGGCACAGGATGGAGCCGCAAGTGGCTCATCCAGGGGGTGCAAAGGGGGGCGGCCCCTGCTGCTGCACAAACCCTAAGAGGCATGGGGGGGTGACCCCCAGATCTGCATGCGGGGCACAGTGGGGCGAGCTGTTACTGTGGGCTGGGGCAGGGGCTCCAGGGGGGGTGATGAGCTGGGGCAGCACTGGGCTCTTCCCGGCAGGGAGGGGCTGGGCTGGGCTGTGCTCAGGGCAAGCAGCAGCGGAGCTGGAAGGGGGGCTATGAGGGGTTATGGCAAATTTTGGGGTAGCTGCAGTCCCCATCCCCTAGTGCTGCCACTGCTGCCCGACCCAGCCCCTCTGACAGGAAGAGCCCACCGCTGCTTCAGCCTGCAGGGGCAGCTTGCCCTCACCGTGCATGCGGATCCAGGGGCACATGCCCCCCCATGCCTTCCCAGGGTGCATGCGGGGTGGAAGCCACACCCCCACCTCAGATGAGCTGCTTGTGGCTCTGTCCTATGTTCCACCCTGCCCCAGCTGAGCAGGCCCTGCCCCAACCTCACTCCCTCCCTCACCACAGGGGCACAATCTGCCCCCTGCCATGCCCCATCCCTCCCCCCACCCTTTTCCCCACACCAGACTTACCAGC